AATTAGGTGCAAATTGAAGGGGCATTCATTGGTTGCTGTTGCCAGGGAAACTTGTGTGCTGTGGGGAAAGAATTGCCCTCATCTGATTGGTTGGGCTGAAGTCTCTTAGCTCAGCCGTTGGTTGTGGTAAACGTTACAGAGCCACAATGGTCTCCACACAAGTCTTCAAATTCACAATAGGAGGAATTTTCTGAATGGCTGAAGGAGGGCTGAGCGGCAGTTTGCAGGGGACCGATTCCCAATAGATGTGAACAGAAAAAACATACAAAATTCACCATGACACCATATTTTACATTGCAAATTAATTAATATGCAACTTCAGCAATGGTCAGGTCACCTAGACAGACAAAAACATTTAAAATATGTTAAAAGACATGTTAAGACTTTTTTGGTTTAGAAACTTGCTTTAATTGAATGGGTTTTATGGTGAAAAGCACTGCGGTGTCTGCCCTTAACATTACACAGCATTCTGAGCCAAGCTAAAAAACAGTTAAATGGGACTAGAGGTTGACTCTCAGGAAGCCAAGTTGGCACGTGTCAAATAGCTCCTGCTGTCCTTGGGGGCAGCTTCAAACACCGTCAAATTCTTAACCGTGTCGAGGTCAATCTGCGATGTGCTCGGTAGTTAATGTGTCACATGTGCCATATCATCTTTCCTTTAGGATTTTCTTTTAGTAAGATAAAGCTGGGTCTATTTTCTGGTGTTGTTTCATCTCATATTGGTCAAATTTAGGCTTGGGCTGGTGCAAGCTTCAGCACCCAAATGTCTTTTTAAAACGTGCTAGTAATTACCAAACACTGCCAAGATAATAGATCGTCACAGTTATTAATATACTTGTTGGAAGATGTAGATTAAATATATCAAAAAGAGTTCAAATCTTCATTATAAAGAATATTGCACTATTTTACTGTTATCCTCGTATAGACACACAGGCAACAAGCCTGTTGCTTGCCTCTTTAATGATATAGGAAGTGTAGCTTTAGAAATAGAATATGATTATTCTAATAACTACAAGACATTTCAAAAAGAGACCAAACTGTGTATGTTTTTCCCAGTGGGGGTGTCATTACTGGTGCTGTGTTTTCCTGCCATTTCATGAAATTAATGGTAAATTTCCACATTTTTAAAACAGAACCTTATCTCAAATTGAAAGTTGCTCCAAGTATCCAGCCTATGTGTAGTAACTACTGTTTTTTTAATGTGTAATTGTAGTTTTTTTCCTATTCAAGCCATTTGAAAAGTGAAAAAGGAAGCTGAATGAGTCTTAAAAAGCAAGTTTCTTCTGGCTAAGACTGAACTGTGCAAAAGGCAGCTCACTAAGGCCAAAAAAAGAAACAAAAAACACAACACTTGGCCATGCATGACAAAATCCAAACATACATTCACATCTGAATGCAGGCAGAGAAGAAATAAATAGGATTAAACATATTAACATGACACAGTTACCAATACCATATAAATTAAGACCACACTGCAGCAAGTTTAAGAAGAAACTGATAAAAAAAACAACAACAATAAAAATCAGCTTTTGTTAAGGTGACAAGATTTTTGAAGAGTACATGCCAGTTTTCACTGAATCACTATGAGTGAACATGCTCTAAAAAGGGTTTAAGCGATGACTCATCAAGCGAGCCGGCAGTTTTATCAGCAGAACAGAAGTACAGTCGCTCTTTTACAGCATAAGAAGTACAGCATTCCTTCCTAGCTGCAGAATCCAATGCGTTAACGCAGCCGACACGTAAGGCCGTGAGTTCCAGGCACAAATTCCATTGAACGAATTCGACCCTCAGCTGGCATTGCTCCTCGACTCCCATGAGTGGCAACAACAGGAAAGCCTTGGTAGAACAAACGTTTGCTTCTGTGTCTGAAGCTCAAATTCAAAGCTCTTATTTTGAAAACAATAAAAAATATTTGCTCCTTCATTTTTTTTCTTGTATAAGTTAGATACTCAGTCAGGATCCATTTACTCTCTTCTTTTTTTTTCTTTCTTTTTTTTTTACCACTGCTACTGGTTCCCCTTTACTCAGTCATACCAAAGCATCCGTCATGCTGTACATATATATATATATTTTTTGTCATAAAGAAAACTTCACAGATCGTCACAAGCTTGTCATGACTAAATATGAAGAACACAGGTTTTTATGATATGTTTGCAGCACTCCTATCGCAGCATGAAAGCACAACTTGAACGCAGGGTCAGAGTCTGTGCCTTTTGGAACAACCATCAGTTGGTTGGGCTTCTCTGAGCGAGCCGTCTGTTGCCTTCAATAACTGTCCGGCTTATTAACATTCGTATTCATTCGTTCTTCTCTTTCAGTTTTTTTTTTTCTTTGCGACACAAAGACTAATGCAGGGCACCTGTACATTGTTGCTTGGCGACTTTTTGAGGAAGAGAAAATGTGCTTCTTCACGGCTAGGAAACCAGCAGATGATGCAAAACTGGAAATCTGGGAAAAGAGAAGAAGAGTTGATGAGCAGGTTAATGAGGTGGAGGAGGCAAAGGACCAGGTATAAAAAAAGGGGGATCAGGCTTAGATATAACCATCAAAAATATTTTGATTTTTAAAGAACCACAGTGGAGGCAATAAAAATATCACCAGTGGAGTCCTATAAAAGGCAGTTCAAAGAGTGCCTCTATAAATCAATGTAGGCTGTGAGACACTGAAAATATCTTTTATTCATATCCTTTGATCTAACAATCGAAAGAAACAGCAACCTTAATATTTACAGTTGTTTTGTATGAGACAAAGCTCAAGGGAACTGATTCATTTCAGTTGCATTACGATGCATAGTGGCGTGTCTAGTATGGATTATTTTCTGCCAAACTTCCACCGACTCGGTTTCCTGAGTCTGGCTAACATCCAGCTCCTCGTCTCATCCGTAGCCAACATCACTTCAACTGTGCTTTACTCTGTGAGATTCAATTTGCCCTTTTTCATTCTTATAACATTTATTGAATTTCATTTCAGCACCTTTTCTTGACAGCTCAGGCGGTTAAAAACTTATAAGATAACATGACAGAAATATGTATATATTCTTTTATAAATCATTCTCATATTGGGTAAAAGTAAATTCGTGCTCAGTGCAGCTAAGAAACTACTCTGGAGGGAAGTTAGGATTACTCTCAGATATTCAAGTATGTACTAAAGCTGATAACTTTAGATCAAGAACAATTTTAATGTACACATTAAATCCCTATGAAGCTGACCAAGCTTCTTGATTAAAATAGATGATTTAAGTACAGTCCTAATTTACAAGCTAATCACTATTAGAAATACACACATTTAACAGCCTGTTTTGATTTATTTTAAAATGCAGGTTCTAAGCTACTGTGGGTCTAAAACAAACTTAAATATCAATCCATGTTGGATTTAGAGGTTGCTATTACAGAACAAACTAAGAATTGTCCTGCAAGAATTTCAGCTTCAAGGTCCTTTGTTTTTTTTTATTCAAATTCAGGGATGACCCCTGATTTTAGTGGCCCCTGACTGTAATTCAAGAGTCATTCAAATGTTGCCTTCCAGCTGAAGTGGTTGCTGCAGATGGAGAATTATAATCAGAGCTCAGTCCCCTTCTGATATAATCAACTTAGCTAAATTTAGAAAGTATTTTTAAAGAAAGAGTGAATTTGCCAACTAAATTCCTCTCTTTTAAAAAGGCATACATGCAAAATCATTTTATATTTTTGGAGCTATAATGAAAAAAAAATCCAACCTCCTCGCTTTTATAAAAAGATATGACTTTTTTATTTGATCTATTTCAATACCCAAGGCTTATTTTATTGTTCAGTAGGTAAATAAGCATTTAATATTTATGTTTTTGACCATTTTATTCAGAAAATGTATATAAATATCTGTTTATATTTATTTTCCATGATTTTATAAATGCTGATCATAAGGTACAGAGTTTGAAACTATGTAAAACTTTATGTTCTTAAACCTTCTGAAGAAAATATGCCCCTAAAGGGGACTGATTGTAGTTGGGAACACTTTCTTTTTTTTTTTTTTTACTTTTTATCATTGTTACTTTGTGTTAAAGGTATACTATGCAACCGGTGTAGATTTTCCAGCGAGGCTCCCCCCAGAGGGTGAAAGTAAAAGTGCACTGTCGTTAATATGCTCAGCTGTTCTCCTGGTTTCTCTGTCAAGCCAGGCGCGGTTGTTTTGAGCTTAGCAGACAGGCGAACGCAACGAATCACCAAGTCTACTGCAGTAAGTGACAATTTTGTTCCAATTTTCGAGTTTGAATATTCTCGCTGGTTCTGCCATGATAACTGCACAAATATTGTCACTGCGCTAGCAACGAGCATGCCTTTCACTGGGGGCGTGTAGCAGTTCTCGCCGTAAAGCAAGACCGACTCTCGCGATGCACGAGGCTTCTGAGCCTGTGGGTGCGGGCCGAGGGCTCCTGCAATTGCAAGTACGGTATTTCCCCTACAGACCACCAGGGCAGCCGAGAATACCTTTGTTCGACCTGAAATGACTCATTTAATCATCCAAAACTTTATGGAACACATTAATTAACTGAAAAATGTTGCATAGTATGCCTTTAAACAGAGCCAGAGAAACTTCAGGGGGTTTTAGCACTTTTCATAATTCTCATAAAAGTTACTTTGATGCAAAATTTTAGAGGTGTTGAAATTGTAGCTATACATTTGACTGGTTGAACCAGCTTATGTCTACTTACACCTACAGTAACAATATGTTAGTATATACTAAGTAGCATGGAAATGTAAAGTAGTGCATATATGAAAAAAACAGCAGCTCTTAATTTTCATTTATATATTAATCCAAACAGTATTAGCCAAATGAACATTGACGAGCATTGATTTAATTAATTCAGCTTTTATTCTGCAATACAATTGAATTAGTGGAGCACTCATATTTTCCTTGATTTCATTATTCTATCTGTTCTCACTGCAGATTTGTAAGACAAATGTAAAAAAGAAGAAACTCTCTCACAGTTCGTTATTGTTCTCCTGGGAAAAATCTAAGAGCACTTCTTTTTTTTTTTTCCTTTCTCTCTCAGCTACAATCTCCTTCTGTGAGGTCCCAACATACTTCCCTTTTCCTTTCATTCCTAAACACTCAGCCTTCTTTTCCATTCCTCACATTTCCTCTATTCACCCTGTTCAGTGAGGGGACTCTGTCAGTTGCCATGACATGAAGGCGCACCAAAAAAAAAAAAAAGAAGAAAGAAGTTTTACTTTAAATTAGAAGCAGGATCTGTCACTTATCAGGGCACTGTGTTGCTCTGCTTTAAAGATACTTTAAATCACCCATCTCATCTGTCCATTTAAGAGATGAGTCACTCAAAATAAGTGGGGATAATGAGTGCAAGAAAATATTTCATCTAAGAAGCGAAGGAACTTCACAATGTCAGAGCAGCATAGCTGTTCTAAGTCGTCTCCTAACATTATCAGAGGGGAGTCACGCAGAGTTAGAAGCTTGAGGAGTCTCTCTACTTTGTTCTTTTTTATTCTCAGGAGTCAGGGCCTGACAGGCATTGAATAAAAAAGTAATAAAAAAAATTGCTTGCACAGCTACTTAATGTGTGGGGGCATTAGTCTGGGAATTGTGCAAAGAGAAAGATGAAAACTGTGAGCTTGCTACCCATGCTCCACATACGTCTGGCCTGCTTATCATCAGAGCAGGAGTGCTGGGTTAGAATGAGGTCATTAAGACAGAAGATGAAATGCTAAATCTAAGGAGTAACATGACTATTATCAAGGATGATGTGTGTGTGTGTGTACGGGCTGCCAAGGATGGGTTTCATGCTGGAAAGTTCTCTAGCTCCCCCTCCTCCTTTCCCCTGCTGGCTTTCCTCTCAGTCACCTCTTCTTGTAACTGATGATAAATGGCTTCCGACACTGTGTGAGACGCAAGCTACCCCCCTTCTCTTTTCCAATGACCACAGACCCATCAAAGGTTGAGCGTGTGTGTGGGGAAGGGTCTCGGGGATGTGTGGTTAAGCTAATTGGCTCCTTTTTCTTAGAGATTCTCTCATAGAAGATGCAAATGGATCCTACTCTCTTTCAGTTACCCTTTCTGTCCTTTTCAAAACAGCCATTTGCCTCGTCGTAATAAAGCCCAGAAGCATTTAAGAGATCCATCTACCCTACCCTTGATCTTCTTTTGCTGAGCAGACCCCGGTTTTTCTCACTGTGGAATCAGATCTAAACTGCTCGCATTAACTCTAGGTTTGGAAGCAGAATTGAAAGGTCCTCGTTTGTTGGATTTTTTTGTTTGATTCTATTAATTAAGCTTAAAGATTGTGTCAGAAACCTAAATCCGAACCCAATTGGTTAAAATGTATAGGTTTAAGAAATGGATCTTACCTAATGGGGAGGGTAGAGGCGTTCAGGATTCAAGCTGGTAGATGCTTCCAGGTGCTGACAAAGGCGGTAGGAATGAGCGAGTATGGAACAGTGGTAATGCTGTTCCATGCATCGAGCGTGGGGTCGTAGCAGTCCAGAGTTTTACACCGCTGCGTACCAAAGTACCCACCCACCACATACAGTTTGTTTCCTGATGCCACAGCCTGACAGCTCATCCGCTTGGCTGTCACATCCCCAACTTTAGTCCACTGGTAGTTCTCACTACTGAACTTGTAAGCTGAGCAGGCTGAGAATTCAGTATCCCCGCCCATGACAAATATTTGGTTCCCCAGCACTGCAGCGGCCGTGTAACGCCAGGGCTGCGGGCAGGATGCCGGCACAGTCCATCGGTTCTCTTGTGGATCATAGCACTGCACCTTGGGGAGTTTGTCGTGGGTGACGCTGGTTCCTCCGAAGGCAAACAGCTTGAGCTTCACGCTGACCACTGCTGCATTGCTAACACCTTCTCTGAGAGGTGCTACCATGGTCCACTTGTTTGCCACCGGGTCAAATTGTTCTACTTGTTTGAGTGACACAGAAGGGGAGGCTGGCAGACAGCCTGTTGCGGCAGTGTGTCCACCTACAACATAGAGGCAGTGTTTCAGCTCTGCAGAGCCATGGCCAAACCTGGCGATGAGCATGGGTGCCGCTTTTGACCATTCCTCGTGAACAGTGTCATAGACCCACACGTCTTTGGAAACGCCATTCTCTGATCCTCGCCCCCCTGTGATGTACACCTTACAGCCTATGGCACAGGCACTGAATTCCTTTCTAGGACTAGGTATGTCAGCCTTCGGGATTATCTCTTTGGCTTTCTGGTCCACCAGGTACAATTTATCACACATGAATGTCTGCCCCCCAAGAAGAAAGAGGGCATGGCTGGTTTTTCTGGGTCGAGCACAGGGACTGTTTACAACGCCATCATTCTGGAGAATCTTCAGCTTACAGCGAATAGCTTCATCTACCAGTTCCTTGCTCTTTGCCTGCGCATTAATCAGCTCTTCTGTTGAAACATTCTCCATGAGAAAGATGGCGGGCAGTAAGGCAAGACGGACTGTTCTCAAAAGCTCTGGGAGGTAGCAGTGCCTCTTTTCTAGGTCGTAGTTGATCCAGTTAAGCGCAGCTTCATAAACCAGTCTCTCGTCTTCCGTCTCCAACTCCTCGTGTGACAAAAGCTGCACTACCATATCTTTGGGCAATTGGAGAAAGTCCTCTGTCTTGCAAATGGCGGGGAAGTTGCTTAGACACATGCCCCAGGAGAGCTCTGACAGCTTTGTACACTGGTGGGCGTCAGACAGCAATAGCATGCCAAGACAGTTGGACGGATGAAGATTTCTCTCCAGGAATTCGGCGCAGGCATCGCGGATGTCCTGAAACTCCAACATGTCCCCAGCCTCCAGTAGTGACTCTGCGTTCTCCTCGTTGATCACCACGCGGGATGAGTACGCGTAATCAAGCAGCAGCTCCAAAACCTCCGGATGGATCGAGTCTCGGAAGTCGACCTCGCTGGCCTGGCTCTCCCTCAGGCCGCCACTGAACATGGCCTCAAAGTAGCGGCTGCATGCGGCCAGCACTGCACGGTGGCAGGGGAAGGAGCGGCTGCCTGCATGAAGGAGGACGTCTGTAAAAAGCCTCTGCTGCCGTAGAGAGTTAAGGTGCATGAGAACACTGTCAGCATAGGAGGATTTGTGAAAAAGGTAGATATTCATGGAGCCGGTGCTGGCTCTGGATTTTCTGTTCTCATGGACGCACACTGACATTTTCATTGAATCCTGGAAAGAGATGAGAAAGAAAAGACTTTAATTATTCCATCATATTTAAAATCTTTAAGAACCAAACATTTCAAACCTTTTAAATGCATTCATTTATATTATATATAAACTTAAGAAATACTAGTTAAATAAATATTAATTATAATCGTCATCAAATAATAAAAAATCCATAAAGTAAATGTTTTTTTTTTTTTTAGAAACACACTTTTAGTAGTTAGTCATAAAATGCAGACTATTTCAATATTAAAGTAGGGCTAATGTGCCTAGCAAGTTTTATTTTTAAAAAAAGGAAGCTGCATTGATCCTACACAATGAGATTAATGTGCAAATATGATTTGTTTGGTGTTATATCCATAAAAGCATAATTATATATAGAGAAAAAGAGATCATGTGCAAAGAAAACAAATGGTCGATGTGAGAATCTTGTATGTAGTATGCCCTTCTGAAGCAATCTCTCTTTGAGCTTCTAATTACGGAAATTCTTTTAAAAATACATATATTATAAAATCTGCCTTAGGACCCTAATGAGCATTTATAAGGCCAAAAGTTTCACAAAATATTCCAAACTCCCTTCCAAAGCGAAGTTGTTCTAGCTTGTTGTTTCCTTACAGGCATCCAGCAGCTGCAGACTGAGGTCAGCTCCTAACCTTCAAGTTACCGGGAATTCCAAGGATTCCAAACATTGAAGGCAAAAGGCTCTTGCAAACATCCATAAAACCTTCTCCAAACACCTGCCAGGCATCTCTCCCTCTGCCTCCCAGTTTTATGTTAAGCTGACTCAAAATGGGAATGCCCTGTCAACCTTTTTAAAATACTATAACACTGTAAGGCATAAAGATGCTTCACTTTTTATTATATTAACAAGGGTACTTGTTCTGGTTTTATATTTAGTACAAAACTAAAGCCTTTTTTTCATGAAAGTATTTACATATTAGCTACTTTGATTTATTACATCATTTAGTTACAGATGTAGTCTAGCATGAATAGACTCATGGTAACACCCTTTTAAAAGGTAATAAACAGCACATATCTCAGCTCCAGTTTTTTTTCCCCATTTAGCTAAATAGCTTGAAAAAATGTAAGGAGCAATTCTACCATCTTAAAACAACTGTGATATCAACAAACGTACAAAAGTTAAAGCCATTTAATAAGCCTTTAAACCACTGTCCTGTTTGCACAAGAACTGGACAGTTAATCGCAACTGCAATATAAGGACTTTTTTAAATGCAACAAGTTGCAGAGGAAATGAAATAATAAACTTGGTAGGTACAAACCGATGCATAGTTAGTTATAAAAAAGAAAAGCTCAGCAGCAAATGGCTCTAATGTAAACGTCATGAAACAACCAAAATCTCTAAGGTGCAAAACAACCATTTCTCACTTGCTCTAACTTCCATATCAATGCAGTTTTTTGCACCATTTTTTATTCCTTACACACTGTTTAAATTTGATCACTGCTGCACTTTAACAAACGTAAATGTCATGAGAGCTGTACAAAACGAAATTCCGTTTTGTATACACTGTGTATACAAACGGACAACAAAAAGCTATCTAAGTCTAATTCTAAGTTAATGGCCGTATACAAGGTAACTCTCTCCATATGGATGCAGGAACAGGATTGCTATAGGTCCTACACCCAACTTTACTCTGACTAGACAAACTTTAAAAGTTGGTTCTTAGTGTTTGTTTCATGCAGGAGGATCATTGGTGGCGTACCATGTTTCACCTCCATTTGCCTAGTAAATAACCAATCTATCGTGTAAAAACAGGAAACAGGAAGAGATTTCAAATGAACATAAAACAGCTTCTGCATAAACATAGACAATGTTTTTGGTTACAATCCACTGGACTTGGTTTCCAAGGTTTGAAGACGTTTCGTTTCCCCTCCAGGCTTTCTCAATTCAAATAGCATCCTGGGGGGGAAGCGAAACCTCTTCAAACCTTGGAAACCAAGTCCAGTGGGTTGTTTTTAAACTTTTACAGAATGACTGTGACCTGGATGACTGAGAATCTTCATCAGCATGGTAAATATCAGCTGTAATTTTGGATCCTCTGTGACAAGCAGTCAGCTTCTATGATCAGCTAATGTTGATTTATAATAAGACACCAAGAAACTTGCATAGTGCATGTATGATATTTTACAGTTTATAACCTTTCTGCAGATTCTCACTTGCAAATCCTGAATGATCCCTTTAAGTTCTGTCAGAGGGCAGATGTCTTTAGGGGGTGAAGGGTTTCATATCCACATTAGATTTTAGTTCAAAAGACCCGGTTTGAGAGGCGAGGGGACAGTTTGGATTTCCATAGGTTGCATCATGTGCTTAAGAATCCTGAGAATGTAGTTTTGTTAAAAGGGAAATGAAGTGTGAAGCCCGTAGGTACAAATGCAAGATTTGTGATGAGCGCTGTCACTTCTACCTTTGGCTTTGAATCGCTTTGAACTCGAACTTTGATGTTCATGACGCACAAAGAAGTAATTCTCAGCGTTTGGCCGCAAGCGTTCTTCTTAAGCCGCAGTTCACCGCTTTCTTTATATTCATCTCTTTACTCTTTTCTTAAATGGTCTTTATAAGAGCACAGATGTTTTGGATCGCAGTCTTGCATCGGCTTCACATACTTGCTTCAGGGTTTTCAACTGACTGATTTACCTAACAAACCTTTGGTTTCATGCTAACCTCAAATGACTTGCGATACAGTCAGCAAAACCAAACTAGGGAGCTTTCCAAACAACCTGTTAAACCGACTCGCTTTTGGGTGTGTGGGAGGTGGTATGTGTGTGTGTTTCTGTGTGTGTGGGCAAAAAGCATCCATCTCAACCATGCAGGGTTTCTCACAGTGAGCACCAGCATTATTTGTCAGCAGTTTATGAAACATAAAACCAACTGCTAACTTCGCTCAACAGGCTTTATTGCATTCCAGCAGAGACATGACCAGGCACACGTCATCCCCTGGAATCAGCTATGATGAGAATATCCGTCCCTGGTCTCTCACCTGAAAGTGTCACCTCCAACAAATGCACACACACACACATCTGCTTTTCTAATTGAAATTTGTAAGTAGCTCGATTTAAGTGAACCTAATAAGGCTGGAACTTAATTAGTGAGGCTCTGCTTATGCTATCAATTAGAATTTTAATAAGTAAAACCATCTATAGTTCATGTCAGAGGCATAGATACAGGCAACTGGGGATGACTTCAGGGACACAGCTGCAGCTTACATAATGAAGTAAATAGTGAATTAATGATGGTTCTGTTTGTAGGAAAGGTTGATGAAACAATATGGAAATTTTCAGTCATTCTAATATTGATTACTTTACATCTTTTTCCAGTTTTCTTTTCATATACACTATATTGCCAAAAGTATTTGCTCACCCATCCAAATTATTGGAATCAGGTGTTCCAATCACTTCCATGGCCACAGGTGTATAAATTCAAGCACCTAGGCATGCAGACTGTTTTTACAAACATTTGTGAAAGAATGGGTCGCTCTCAGGAGCTCAGTGAATTCCAGCGTGGAACTGTGATAGGATGCCACCTGTGCAACAAATCCAGTCGTGAAATTTCCTCGCTCCTAAATATTCCACAGTCAACTGTCAGCTGTATTATAAGAAAATGGAAGTGTTTGGGAACGACAGCAACTCAGCCACGAAGTGGTAGGCCACGTAAACTGACGGAGCGGGGTCAGCGGATGCTGACGCGCATAGTGCGAAGAGGTCGCAAACTTTCTGCAGAGTCAATCACTACAGACCTCCAAACTTCATGTGGCCTTCAGATTAGCTCAAGAACAGTGCGCAGAGAGCTTCATGGAATGGGTTTCCATGGTCGAGCAGCTGCATCCAAGCCATACATCACCAAGTGCAATGCAAAGCGTCGGATGCGGTGGTGTAAAGCACGCCGCCACTGGACTCTAGAGCAGTGGAGACGCGTTCTCTGGAGTGACGAATCGCGCTTCTCCATCTGGCAATCTGATGGACGGGTCTGGGTTTGGCGGTTGCCAGGAGAACGGTACTTGTCTGACTGCATTGTGCCAAGTGTAAAGTTTGGTGGAGGGGGGATTATGGTGTGGGGTTGTTTTTCAGGAGCTGGGCTTGGCCCCTTAGTTCCAGTGAAAGGAACTCTGAATGCTTCAGCATACCAAGACATTTTGGACAATTCCATGCTCCCAACTTTGTGGGAACAGTTTGGAGCTGGCCCCTTCCTCTTCCAACATGACTGTGCACCAGTGCACAAAGCAAGGTCCATAAAGACATGGATGACAGAGTCTGGTGTGGATGAACTTGACTGGCCTGCACAGAGTCCTGACCTCAACCCGATAGAACACCTTTGGGATGAATTAGAGCGGAGACTGAGAGCCAGGCCTTCTCGTCCAACATCAGTGTGCGACCTCACAAATGCGCTTCTGGAAGAATGGTCAAAAATTCCCATAAACACACTCCTAAACCTTGTGGACAGCCTTCCCAGAAGAGTTGAAGCTGTTCTAGCTGCAAAGGGTGGACCGACGTCATATTGAACCCTATGGATTAGGAACGGGATGTCACTTAAGCTCATATGTGAGTCAAGGCAGATGAGCAAATACTTTTGGCAATATAGTGTATATGCTGCTCGCAGTCAACATGTTGCCTCGGTAGCTTTTTTGAAGGCACATTTTTTCTTATTTTTAGTCCAGATGCAAACTTTAATTGTTGTTTTGGACAGTTTACGTTGTTTTTTTCTTTGTTTTTTTGTAGCTTTGTCTTTTTTGCCCTTGGGTTTTTTGGGTTATTTTGTGCTTTTTAATACTCTGCTTTAAAAAGTGTCCCAAAACCTGGAAGTTTGGAGTTTTCTAAGGTTATTTGATTTATTCCTAAATCTTTTTATCATCCTTTTTTATCCATTTTGGAAATCTTTGTGGTACTTTTTTTTAGCATATTAATTTAATCTTATACTTCTCTCAGATATTTTTACATTATTGTGTCTCATTTAGACACTCTTCAATTTTATCCTATCCGCTCTTTGATGCTTGCTCACTCAGCACCCTTCGGTCTTCTAGTATATGAAGCAGAAATCATAGAAACTCTCACCACTAATAAACTCGAACAGACACAGAACTAAATGTCAGCATCATGGCATTCCGACTAAATAACCTTTATCTTCAGCATCCATGTTTTCATTTCGACTGTAATTTTCTCTGGGAACTGACCTCATCATGGCTTGACATAATGACACTATAACATCTTGATAATGACAAAGTGTAACAAAGCCTAACAGCTAACAATCGGATCTAATGTCCAAATATTTATTTGAATGAAATAATCTAAAAATTTAGACATTTTATATTCATAGAATATCCAGACATTCTTTCAAACAATCTGCTGACCAAACATTGCCTTGCAAACATATTGATATGCACAAAGTTACATACAACAGACGTTAAACGCTTGTTTATAACCCTAAAGACAATATCCCCCCTGTAAAGCACGGTGGAAGTGGTATGCTGTGAGGATGCTTTTTCAGCAGAGATAGGGAAAACAGTCAGAGTTGATAGGGTTAAACTAAGAAGGGCTCCATAAAATGAAAACATATTGTTAAACCACAACATATTGTTATCCAATAAGGAATTCATCATGATGCATCATGTAAAAGCTTGTTAAAATGCATAAATGTTTGTTAAAGTGCATAAAAGTTTGGTTCCTGAACAAATATGAGGAAGTTTTTAATGCATACTATGAGATAGACTATATTATGATCTTCACTCTATAAAGATAATTTAGAGAATCACCTTGACTGCATGACTGGACCCTTTCTGAATCATCTATTCTGCGTGCCTTTACCAAACTTCGGAAAAAGCTCCAGAATCGTTTAACCATGATCTAAATGTGAGTATTTTCTGCTTTTATTCTATCAAGACTCCCAGGAGGGGATTATTTTCCAGACAAACCAAGCATGACAAGACTCTAAAATGCATTATTATAAATAAAAAAAATACCAGGCACCCCCAAAATCTACACATTTCCAAAATCTAGGATATAAAAATACAATGTAAGTAGTCATGATGGGGTATAAGAGATGAGATGAGATTGAAATGCCATCCTCATCATGTTCTAAAGAAACCAGATCCAACAGACGCACAACCAGACTATATGCACCATGCAGAAAAAAAAAGAAGAAGAAAATACAAGAATGGTAAAAGAAAAAAAAAAGGCTCTGGCTGCAGTCTGGTAGAAATCATTGCCAGGTGCTCACAGTCGAGCATGGACGCAGGAAGAGAGATGGATGGGAGGGAGACCACTTCAAAAGTAAACACCAGGCTTATGTGGACTTAGCTCCGAGCATCTGCCGAGAGAGACGCACAACAAAGACCGCAGACTTGCAGCAGCAGCAGCAGGGAACGATGTACAAAAAACCCAAACAGATTCAGATCCATTCAAGCTGCTGGCTTTACATTTTAACCAACCATCCATCTAACAATGACAAGGAAGCATGAAACGACGTTAAACAGGCAGAAATTCTAAAGGAACAAAACGGGAAATGCAAAATGTAAACAATAAAAGCAAATATTGACATAAATAGAAATTGGGTTTTATTAGCCCGGTGTGCTTAATAACCAGCCTGAAGAAAGAAAAAAAAATACTAAAATAAAAAAGTGCAGATTTATAGAAATACCTCTTTGGTTGAAAGCAGGAGTTCAGTCGTACCCGAAGGGTCGCGCGAGCATGCCACTCGTGAAAGAGCCACGATGAAAGCCTTTGCGCCCGCGGAGTGGATGAAAACTCTTCTGTTATTTCCGAGAACTGGTTCACAGGGATAACCTCTCTGGCACTGAGGACTACAGCGGAGGGACTCACCGTAGGTCTGGTTGAATGCAGGAACTCGGTGAATAATAAGAGAGGAGCAGTTTGGAGGCGTTCCTCTCCTCCAGCTCACTGCTCCACTCCTCTCTCCTCTCCGTCGCTCCTCCGCCTGCGCTCACTCAGATCAATGGGTGTGTTTACAGCTCGGGAACAGCGAATCTATGGCTAAACATTTTACAATCTAATACAAGGAACGCGTCTGTTCCTACCAGAAACAAGAAGGCCACCCCCGACATAAGACTATAATACAATCAATTAAAGAAAGCAGCTGTTAGAGTACATTTGAATGTAACCATCAGCCCAGTCTTTCATTATTGTAGATAGATACGACCTTTAACCTACAATAGCAGCTTTCCTATTGGTCTGTTTGATTTGTTATTACTGGACTTTGGATCCTAGCTACATTTTTTTTTTATCACCCTTGTATACAAGGGTGATAAAAAAAAGCAACAAAAATAAATACATAATGTATTTATTTCGTTGCTATTTAAAAGTATCAGTTATTTGAAATAACAATCTTTTCTATTTAAAGTTGTTTTAATTTGAGTATTGTATTAATTTTTGAGTCTTAAAGGTATAGTGGAGGTTTTTTGCGAATTTTTTAAAAGACCCGCCCTACGGAAGAAGATATGGGGCAATGAAAAAATAAAAAAAAAGTTAACTGATTTTTAAATATTATTTCGGTTTAATATGCAAAAAAATATTTCTCAGAATTCTGACTTTAATGTCAGAATTCTGACTTTATTCTCTGAATTCTGACTTTTTTTTTCTCAGAATTCTGACTTTAATCTCAGAATTCTGACTTTTTTCTCAGAATTCTGACTTTAATCTCTAAATTCTGACTTCGATCTCAGAATTCTGACTTTAATCTCTGAATTCTGATTTTTTTTCTCAGAATTCTGACTTTAATCTCTGAATTCTGACTTTTTTCTCAGAATTCTGACTTTAATCTCAGAATTCTGACTTTGATCTCAGAATTCTGACTTTAATCTCTGAATTCTGACTTTGATCTCAGAATTCTGACTTTAATCTCAGAATTTTTACTTTTTTTCTCAGAATTCTGACTTTAATCTCAGAATTTGACTTTCAGAATTCTAAGAAAAAAGTCAGAATTCTGAGATTGGTCAGAATTCTGACTTCTTTCTCATATTATACCGAAATAACGTTTAAAAATCAGTTAACTTTTTTGTTTTTTTTCAGTGGCCCTAATCCTCTTCCATACCACCCTGTCCACTTCGGAGAGAAACAAATGAACATGCATAACCCCGTACCCTCTCTTGGGAGGGATGGCCTATTAAGCACACAAGCCCATTTAAAAGTTGCTGTTTGCCTCGGTTATACAAGCTTACTTTCCAAAATAAGATTTGCAATTTTTCCACCATGTCAGACTCACCAATGGTAAGTGAAAATGGTGATGAGCATGTAGCACGGCTTTACGTAAACATATCACCAGAATGATTGACAATTAGTACCATTAATTTTGATGATCCACCCGAAAAAGAACATCCTCCACTATAACTTTAAGTATGAATCCAGTTTTTCCTTGGCTGTGTGTGACTGGTCTATAGAAATCAACATGATTGACTGATCAGTCCCAAAATGAGGGGTCCTCTCCTGGAAGCTTACAGTGTAAAATTGAGTTGGTAACATCAAACCAAATAATCTAACATGAAAGCTGTCCTGTAACAGAATGAATGTATCATTTAGATTTTTGGTTGCATTCAATGTTAATGTCTGTTTTTTAATCATAATTTGTGTATTTTTGTAAAACTAAGCTCCGACAGCTGGATGCATTTATATTGATTATCAATTATATACAAACCTTTTTAATATAAAATATATTTTATTCTTCATTTTATATTTATTGAATATTTTCACCAAGTGAATAGCACAAAATAAAAAAAAAATAAAAATTGCAACAATGTTATTATTAGTAGTTGAAAGTTTTAATATACCCATACCTGTTTTTTTATGTTTAGACTTTTTAGAAACATCTGCATTGCATTTATCCATACACTAATTATTTCTTGTTGTGGATTTCAGATGGCATTCTTCGTTGACAATCAATACTTTATTTGGCTAAAATTCAAATTTACCTTCGAGAACTTTTACCATTCATCTGCATTAGAACAGTAAATATTTGTAAATGCATGCTTACTGCATAAAATACACATTGTTAACACATGCAGGATCATTTAACTATCACAGGAGTAGACAACTCTTTTGTTCATAGTTCTATATCTCAACTTAGATATCAGGTTAAAGACAGCACAAAAAGTTCATAAATTTACTCTTTCAAGAACCCCTTCATTTATGATCTATTAGATCCCAAACACACATGTCTGCATTGTCATACCTGCATTTTATAACTGACTTTTCTGTTGTTGATTGCACTCTGAAGGTCTACAATAGCATTATCGGTTGAAAGAATTGCATTAAAAAGTACAGCAACAGCTAAAAAACTATTTATATTTTTAAGAAAATGTGTACTTTGAAATGTTTCTCAGTTGATTATTATGGAGAAATGAAGAGCTGTCTACTTTTTAATACTCAAAACTTTGCCGTTATAATTTGATAGCAGATATATCTCAATTAGGGGCTTCTGGTCATAAGTTTTTTTTTAAACACTCGAGTGATGATAATGTTTTTAGATATCATAAAGGTTATATTGTGGATACCAGGAGTTTCATTATTATCTGAAATGCGAATATATACATTTTTTCCCCCTCATAAGCTTTGTAGTAAATGTTACAATAGCTTGCCATACTAGAGAGACCTGGAGAGGGATCAGCTTGCCTGTCTCAGCGCAGGAAACGAAAAGGGACAAAAGAGAGGAGGGGGCGGGGGTCACATGCATAGAGATGTGGATGGGGAGGTTGCTGCATAAAAAGAGCAAAAACTAATCAACGGAGTCACTTGTTATGGGGGTATTCCATCCAAAGTTAACAGAAATTCAGAATAAAAACGCCAGTTTCTGTGAAATACTAAAATATTAAAAGAAAAATGTGCAGCATCTAATTGCTTTTACTCAAAAGGAGCATTTTTGTTTTACAAGTTTCTTTGATAGTTTTATTTTATACAGACTTAAGCTTAAATAAATGTCAACAGTGCATTGTGCTTCGCTGCCTATATGGTAAATAAACTTAGTCATGTATTCTTGCAATATTTATTTACTTAAACATGCTTCTGCCATTTTTTTGCCGTTTAGAGGATGTGGCATTTAAATATTTGTCTCTCTACTATAGCCTGCCTAATTCATTGCTGTTTTTTTTACGTTTTTCATGCAGTTAGTGAAGGATGTTGGTGCAGAGGTAGGCCTACTTGTGATCATGACCACTTATAAGTTTGTCTTTTTTTTTTTTTATCAAACATTTTTAAAAGCTTCATTAATCCTTATGAATTCCTGAAATTCTGCTATGGCTATTGAAATTTGGAGAACCACCCCAAAATTATTCATGGTTTCCATCTGGCCTGCTGTTTTCAAAGCTTTCTGGTGGCACCCCTGGGTTTTGGGGGTTGGATGACCCCCCGGCAGCGGGTCACGAGATTAACCTTTTATTGTCAGCTCTACCTCTTTAGGCCTTTATCAGATTTGTAAGCACTGGGGCACTCTTTAGAAACAATTATTCTTTGGTGAACTAAGGCTTTAAATCAGGGCAGAAAAAAAAACCCAAAAACCTCCATATATGTTTCAATAAACTGCGTTTGTCAAAAATCACTTTAAATCCCGTTTCTTCTTTCGCAGAAATTCCTCTTATACTGTCTGTAGGGTATTAGTTTGAAGTTACTTGTAATTAAAATATCATTAATAGTGAATGTGTTACCATTGTTTTGTATTTTCTAAAATAACATAAATCTATGTTAAGTCCTCAGTAGATTATAGATCCCAGACACGAAAAAACATTGTTGTCCTCACTAACTATGGGGACATTTTTTTCAGCACTACAATATATAGATGACTCTGAGCACAAAGTTCAATCCTATAGGATTATAAAAACATTATGGTTTCATGGTTGGAAACAGAGGGTACAATTTTATCCCTTTACTCGTCTGAGTCATGTCTGTGGTCCTCACTGGCTGTGACCAAAGTCTTCACCGGGGCCCTTAAGGCAGTTATGTCCCTATTTTGTTCATTTTTTTCTGCACTGAGCTTGTGATGTGGTCATCACAGGGTTGTTAGAAACTCATACTGGGTTTTCCCTATAATATGAATTAAATAACGAGTCAGACATCATCAGGAGGACCCTGGAAGACAGTGCTGTAAACAACCATTTCCAACCGACCAATAGACCCAAGGAAAACATTAAGTCCTGATTTTACACGTGGGAAGAAGGACACCTAGTGGACAGAAAAAAATCTCCTTTTATTCTCACCTTATTTTTTTCTTTCTATTTTCTACTGCTCATAGGTAATGCTACAGAAATAAAGAAAAGTGGTAGTTAATTTGTATAACATTTATGCATTAAGGTGCATAATATAAAAATGAATGAAAATTGGCATTTACTACCAAAGTAATGTGTTCAAGAGCTGCAAAGCTGCATCTCTTCTCCAGTATACCCTAATCTAACAGTTGCATTACAGATTATAGCTCTCAAGGACTGGACTTGGGCACCTCTGATCAAGAGGCTTGTATCAAAAAGATCTTAAAAGGATCTACTGATCACAGTAATATTCTAAGTAGGAGGGTTTCCTTGTCTCACCCACAGGTTGATAAAATCAACACATTAAGAATAAAAAAGGATGTAAAATGTTTTTCAAACGGAGAAGAGAGATATTACCCTGAACAAGTTTTGCAGGAAGCATCATGCTATATGGAGGCTTTTCAACAGTTGACAGAAGTTGTTTTGCTGCAAAACTCTTGAGAGCGTTGCAGTTTAAACTTAGAGCTGCAGTGGTATGGTTTAGAAAGTTTGTTTACGGCAATATCTAAAAGAAAATAAGAAAGAAGAAGGTCTTTTTGCATGTAGTTAGCATGTTCTCCCTGTGCATGCATGGGTTCTCTCCGGGTACTCCGGCTTCCTTCTACAGTCTAAATGCATGACTGTAAGGTTAATTGGCTTCTCTAAATTGTCCTTAGGTGCATGGCTGTGGGAGCTGGCGAGAGAGGGTGATTAAAAA